ACAACCAAAACTATCCTCCACTGATAGCCCAAAGTAGTTATTTCTATACAGAAAATAAATGCAACAAATGGATATAAAATCGACATTTCCAACTAGGTGAGTGACATAAAATCCAACTACACCCTTTTATTCCCATGTATTCCCAATCTCAACATTTCCAATTCAATTCCTCATTTCTCACAATTAATTTTACAAATTAATTAACCAATGTAATTAGGACATTTTTCATAATTAACATTTCAACCCTTAGGTTCCATTTTCATTAATGTTTTAAAATTAATTCCACTTTTTCCATGCCAAACATGCATCTAGGCTTTTATATAGTTAAAACCCCAACTTTGTAAATTTGCACAAAAGTCTCAAACTTTCACAAAATTACCAAACTAACCCCAACATCTCAAACTACTAAAATTTAAAGACAAAACCCATAGTAAGGAGTAGGTTATCCCTACCTCAAAGTTTGAGCTCCAATTGAGATGAAGACCAAAACCAAAATGCTTCAAATTCTGAAATTTTCAGATTAAAATATAGCCCTTGACAATCAACACAACTTTTGTAAAGACCAAAAGTGAGCAAACAACTCATACTAGATCAAATCTAAGAGAGAAGGGCCGGTTTTAGAGTGAGAAGCTCTGAAAATGACTTTTTGGAAAAGTAAGAGAGAGAAAAGATCTTGAAAAAGTGATCCAAAAGTCGGATCTCGGATTTATATAAAAGTCGCCCCGCTCAAGCGTCAAACTCCCCGCTCGAGCGTCACCCACAGACTCCCGCTCGAGCGTCAACAATCCCGCTCGAGCGTCGAATACACATTCCCAGAACTTTAGCAGACAGGTCTCCTGCTCGAGCTTCCAACTCCTCGCTCGAGCGGAACTCACACAATCCCGCTTGAGCGGCCAATCCCACACTCGAGCGTCGAACACTGTACAGGAAATACTGGATGGGTGAAACTCCCGCTCGAGCGCCAAAACCCCCGCTCGAGCGGACAGGTCAAAATCTGGGCAACTAGTTTTGGTTTCTAATCTCAACCAACCTGTAACAAATCTGCCCAACACATCCTATAACTCAAATACAAAGTAAGAAAGGATGTACACCAGGTAATAATCAACTACTATCATCCACGGACACATGTCCGGATCACTGTACAACAAGGGTAAACCCGGGATCGCTATAGTGCTAGTTCTATTTGCGCCAACCCAAGCATAAGAAGCTTTACGATGGTTACATTTAGCACAAGCACTAGTATTACTCCCTTCTTTAAAAGTTTGGTAAAATGCTTCTAAACTTCATAATATTGTCGAGCTTTTGGCTTAAGAGGAAGAGGGGGCTTACCTTTGAACTAGAAAGAGTTTCAGGCTGAGGATCATACTCTGGCTTAGATTGAGACTGAGAGAGGTCGATGACATCATTTGTCTCTCCAGTACTTGACATCTATCAAACAAGAAAAAGAAATACATAACAAAAAAATAGGATTAATATTATTAGAGAAGATAAAATAATAGAAAAAATAAAAACAGAAATCAAAACCTAAAGAAAAAGATTAACAGGAACTTTTTACTTACATTTACACATTGTAGAAAAGATTAACAAAGATGAGACGAACAATTGATTTAAGAGTATAGAGTTCACTGAATATCTTCGATTTGAGATTGAATCCACCGATCTAGCATGAAATCCATAAAAAAGTAACAATGTGTTAGAGAGAGAGAGAGAAAGAGAGAGCTCACCGAAAGAGAGATAGAGAAAGAGACCAAACAGCTACCCGATATGATCTGAGATGAAATCACAATAATAAAGAAAGAGAACTCAGTTTGAGAAAGAGAAGAGAGAAAGCTTACTGAGTTTGAGAAGAAAGAAACCAACAAAAACAATGTCACCGAGAGAGAGAGAGAGCTCACCGAGAGAGAGAGAGAGAGAGAGAGAGAGAGAGATAGAGAAAGAGACTAAGTCGCTACTAATCTGATCTAAGATGAAAATCCATCGATTTGATCTGAGATGAAATCACAAGGTTACCCAAAAGACAACCTAAGAGGGGGGTGAATTAGGTTTTTACAAATAAAAATAATAATACCCTAATAAAAATTATGACTAACATAATAGATAAATATAGTTAATGAAATAAAAATAATTAAAACAAGTGTTCTAACAACCATGATAATTAATGATTTTAGCACAATAAAAATATGGAATATAACTATGGCAATTTAAATAACATAAAGAGATAAAGGAGAGAGGGGCAAACAAATTTATAGTGGTTCGGCTTCAACTCGGCCTACGTCGACTCCTCAAGCTTCACTTGAGATTTTCCACTATTCTCTAGCTTCACAGGGTGCTAGCAACCTTTTAACAGATGGAGCAATCCTCTACGGATTTTATACAGATTTTCTAAGTCCAAAAAAAACACTAAGAGTACTACACTCTTACAAGATTGAAAAGAATGTGTTTTTGCTTTCACAGAAAGTTATAAGAATTATCTCTCAAAGATAGATATAAAAATGAGACTCTGATTTTTCTGTAATCCTCACACAGGAATGATGGGCTTAAAGCTATACGACTTAATGTATAATTTCTAAGAGAGGATGTAAACAAAAATTGAAGAACACTAATCAGAAAATTTTACAAAGAATAGATGAGAGTGATTTTAGATCAAAGAATATTTTATGGGTTCTGTAACTTGTTTGTAGTTTCTATCTCTTGTTAACATGAGAGGTTTTAGTATATATAATGAAACTTATAGCCGTTTATAGCCGTTGTAGTCATTTGAATATCTTTAACTCCATCATTACTAATTTGAATATCTTCCATTCCATCATTACTAATTTGATTATCGTTCACTTGAACCTTTTGAACTTTTTGAACTGCTGCTGTGCTGGGTTGTTTGAACTTCTGTTTTTTGGCTGTTTGAACTCCTGATTTGATCAAATATTAAATACATCCTAATAATATTTAGGATAAAGGTTTAGGTGAGGAATAATGGGACAAAATAAATTTTGATTCTATTTTTCTCTTTCAAATAAATTAAAACATAATTAAATAAGTCATCAAAATAAATGTTGATTCTATTTTTCTCTTTTAAATAAATTATCAAAATAAATTTTGATTCTATTTTTCTTTTTTAAATAAATTAAAACATAATTAAACAAATCATTAAAATAAATGTTGATTTTATTTTTCTCTTTCAAATAAATCATCAAAATAAATTTTGATTTTATTTTTCTCTTCTAACTAAATTAAAATATAATTAAACAAACTATCAAAATAAATAAGTATAACACACAAAAATAGAGAGAGAACTCAGTTTAAGAAAGAGAAGAGAGAGAGATGAGAGTGTGAGAGATAGTGGTGTGTGATATGTTGAATTAGGGTTAGGGTTTAGCTTTTATATGGAATAAGAAATGATATTATGTGGGAGAGTCTATAGTATATATATAGACTATTTGTATATAGTCCGGATCGATTCCAATTCGAAACTGTGGGGTTCAATCTGAAACCGATCCGTGGCCTATGAAATTTTAATTTTCAATCTAGAACTGAACTATGGATTCAAAAAATAATTCAAATTTACTGGATTGAACTGGACTGGACTGAATCGGATTATAGATTATATGGATTTCTTGCTCAGCCCTATGGCCAGCTATCAACGGTGGTTAGATTTGATGACCATAAGAGATTGCAGATGACGATAGGCGATAGTGGTGATAAGTGGTAGGTGATACTTGGAGAGGGTAAGTGAGGAAGAAAGAAATGCAAATTTATTTTTTAGACTAGCGAAACTATTTTTTTATTACATTTTTTTTATTTTTTATTTTTTTGTAAATTTTGTAAACTGTTTTAAGTTTTTTGAAAATAAAAATAAATATCAAGTATATTTTTGTTTATAATTTTTAAAATTATAATAAACATCAACAAACTAAAGAGGGTAAATGTTTTTGAAATTTTTTAAAAATATATATTTTTAATTCTATTTTTGACAAATCATATTTTATATTTATTTTTTTTTTCTTCAAAAGATGAGTTTAACACAAAAATAAAAAAATAAAAAAGAATTACAATGACATATTTTGAAAAAAAAAAAGGCAACAAGTCTTGTAATTTTTGCATAATTACATTATATTTCTTAAAATTTTAATTTACATAATATTTAACCATATTTTTCATCAATAATTAGGTGGTCATATAGATAGAAATTTTTTACTATGACATGTATATATATATTTTTGTTTTTCCTTATTTCTTCGCACTATTTGTATTAATTTCATGTTTGGTTTGGGAATAACTAAGGTCTCATTTGGGAACATACTATTTTAGTATTTTTTGACTTTTTAACTAAAATATAAAGTAAAAAAATTAATATGTTTGAGATGATTTTTTAGTTTTTTTACAAAAAAATGTGTAAAAAATAGAGAGAAAAGGAAATTTTTGACTTTTTGATATATATTGTTGACTTTTTAATTTTTTTAATGATTTTTTAATTTTTAGGCTAGAAAGTAATATTACCAAACGAGACCTAAGAAGCTAAAAAAGCAAACTATACAAAATAGTAAGGGCAAATTACATATACCTCCCTTAAGGTTTGACTAAATTACAGATACTCCTGAAGTTTCGGAAATTACATCCCGCCCCCTAAGGTTTGTATTTTCATAACAATTTGCCCAATGAAGTTTAAATTTCATAACAAATTACCTTCTGAGTTGTTATGCAAATATAGCATTAAAATTTGTGATTTCTCAAATCTCAAGGGTATTTGTAATTTAATTAAACCTCGAAAGGTATATATAATTTGCCCAAATATTAAAGATTTCATTTTATTTTTTGGTTGTAAAAAGTAAAAAAATTGTTCAAAATATTTTCTTTTTAATCTCATATTTTAATAAAAAAAATTAAAAAATTATTAAAATAATTTTTTCATACTTTAAAGAGATGAGTGAAAAAATAAAAAAATATTTTTTTTAAGTTAATTAATTAATTATTAAAAAGCATTTAAAAGAATTTGGTCCCAGCAATTCCTGCGTGCAAGGTGCGCTGTCTTGCTCTCTTACCTTTCAACTTTCTCTCTCCGCAATTCTAGAGACAGATTCGCCAACCCGAAGCCTCTCTCTCTCTCTCTCTTTCATAATCTCATTGCCATTCCCATTATTTTATCGACAAAAATACAGCTGAATTCGATTTTAGGAGCTATTCTCAATTTTTGCTTCTCTCTCTCTCTCGACCCAACAACACCCAACTACTAATCTTTCAGATCTGGCCTTTGACACCTTCGTCTTGGGTCCAGTTCGATCAGGTTCGTTCTCTTTTTCTCTCTTACGATCTGGTTTGGACTCATTTTTTCGATTTCTAGATTGTTTCAGATCTGGGTTTGATTCGTTCTAGGTTTTTTATCTCAATTTTGCTGGTTTAACGCCGATTCAGCTCTGAATTTTTTGTGATTTAGGGTTTTATGATGTTGTAAATTTGATTTGAATTCTCAATTTTTGCTGGGTAATCGTTCAAAATGCATTTTTTGTCATGATATTTATGTTTATAGTCAACGTTTGATTTAGTCAAATATGGTATAGGAATTAGATTTGGTGAATTTCATCTTTTGTAGTTATATTTGTTTTAATAACTGTACTTGCTTTGTAGATTTTATGATGTAATTATATTCTTTTTTGCTCATTTTGATTTTTTGAATAGCTGTTTTTGTAAGTTTTTGCTAGTTGCTACAAAAACACAAAAAAGTTGTCTTCTTTCTTTATATATTAGTACCTTTTGTTTGTTAAGGCAGCTGCTAATTGGGAATTGTTCTAGTGATTCTCATTTCACTGGGAAAAACCCAAAAAAAATTTGTATGATTATGCTTGATAATTTGTATGGGGGTATGATCCAAGAACATGATTTCAACTGTAACTACAGAACTAGAATTGGATGCCCCAAATCCCAGTTAATACCCTCAATTTGGATGCCCCAAAAAGGAAACAACAGAACTAAACTGATGTCCATAGATTTTGTGTGTAGATCCTTTTGATATTTCCCTAAGTGAGATTTTGATTTTCGGCCCAGTTTTGTTTGAATAGCATACTCACATCCCCCAGATTATGTTATCAGACTTCATTCCGTGTTGGAAAAAACTTGTACAGTTGAAGGCTCTTAAAGTGATCACTGCTGTTGTCATTTTTTGTTTTGTTTTGTTTTTTTTTTTTCCGGTGGTTGACGGGAAGTGCCTCATAATTGTTGCATAACTGTTGTGAACCATATTTTCTTCCAGCAGGACGCTAAGAAAATTTGGAGTTTCCTTGTATTGAAGAGAATTTTGCATCCTGAACTAAAGTTGCAATGAAGAAGGCATTTGATCAAACAGTTCGGGATATGTAAGTTTGATTGGCTTTTTAAAGTTCTTTCTGGAAGTAAATGCTTGTTTTTTTTGGTTTTTTGAGTTTATTGCTGAAAAATCTCATGTATCAATCGGTCCCTAACGATCTCATCAAGCCATGATGGTTCTTTTGTTTCCTGTTTTCTTGCAGTAAGAGGGAGGTGAATAAGAAAGTTCTCAAGGTTCCTGGAATAGAACAGAAGGTAAATATAGATATATGTTCTTTTATTTTATTTTATTAAATTTCTGTGGCAGTTTGAATATAAACAAGCAAGGCTTTTGATTGGGATGCTTGGCAGTATAGATGAATGCAAGCAAATATTTGTGAAATACTTGATGGATAGTCTTAAAATGCAATGCCAGTTTATTAATTAATCATCTTCTATTTAAGTAAATTTTCTTGTATCCTCTTTCAGGTTCTTGATGCTACTAGCAATGAGCCCTGGGGTCCTCATGGATCTCTTCTCGCTGATATTGCACAGGCTACCAGAAACTAGTAAGCTAAAGTGTCTCTTTTATAAAACACATTGTGATTCTTCTACTTTATTCAGAAGTTAATCATTCTTGATCATCCAAGCAGTCATGAGTACCAGATGATTATGTCTGTAATCTGGAAGCGCATCAATGATACGGGCAAGAATTGGCGGCATGTTTATAAGGTCTGCAATTTTTCTCACGTACCGGATACTACCTTTTTTTTTTTGGGTGAAAATTTTACTTGTTTTGAATTTTCCTGCAAGTTTCTGGTTTTTTGAAGCTGTTATTATTCTCTCTCTCTCTCTCTGTGAAAATTTTGCTTGTTTGAATTTACCTGCTGGTTTTTGGTTTTCTTCTTTTTTTTTTTTAACTCTCTCTCTCTCTCTCTCTCACATGCACACACACACTACCACACCCACTGCTAAATTGTAATTCTTCATCGTGTTCTTCATGCTGACTGTTTGTTTTTATATCTAGATCGTGTTTTTCTTTTTCTAATTGTGTTGTAGTGGTGTAACTGAAAAATCCATTCTCATGTTTCAGGCTTTGACTGTTTTGGAATATTTGGTAGCCCATGGGTCAGAGCGTGTCATAGATGAGATCAGGGAACATGTGTATCAAATATCGGTAACTTTCTGTTCCTTAAATCTGTTTGGCAGCTCCAGTTTAGTATTTGCCCTTCTGCAACTTTAAAACTAGTGATTTGGCTAAAGTTACTTTGGTACTCATGAGAATGCTTTTATCTTGTCATAGACCTTGTCCGATTTTCAATATATTGATTCTGGTGGGAGGGACCAGGGAAGCAACGTCAGAAAGAAATCTCAGAGTCTTGTGGTTCTAGTGAATGATAAAGAAAGAATACAAGAAGTGAGACAGAAGGCTGCTGCTAACAGGGACAAGTGAGTCTGCTTCCCATAAGTGGTTGGTAAAATATATCATGTTTATAATCTTAATGATTTTGGAAGTATGCTCAAATTTGCTGGATCGTTTTATTGTTATCATAAGTATCAATAATTCATCCCAGATTCCCAAGTATTTGGACTACATTGTGATTCTTGTTTAGTCTTGAGTTTATTAAAATCCTAGTCTGCCATCATATATTGTCATCTCACAGCCTGAAGTGATGCTTATTGTCATTGGTTGTTGAAAGTGAAACCATCCCATGAAGGACAGGAATAATTTATTTTCTAATTTATTATTGATGTTTTTAGCGCCTGCCATCTGTTAACTTCCTTTCCCAAAAAAGTTCCTAATATTTAGCAACATTCTCGTTTTGTTACATTTTCTAATATAAATATTGTTCTTTGTTTTTTAACAATTTTTGCAAAATATAAATTTGGTAGTGCTATCTAATGAAGCTTTCTTTTTTGTTGTTTGGTATCTTTCACTTGAAGAGAACCTCCTGAAGTTCTTATCCTTATTTATGCCAAAGAATTGGCAGCTTCCCCCCTTCTATTATTTTTTTTAAAAACAAAATCTTCTCTCTTTTTTTTTTCTTCTCCAGATAGTTACCTGTCATTTTCTGTGTTTTATTTGTAGTAGTAGTTGTTTTGCATGGCATGTGTTTTGCTTGTGCTTCCTAGATGCAAGAGAACTATTAATTGGACAAATTTTCTTTTAATTCCTGTTTTTGCTTTTGATTAGAAAAAGTTTCTGTAAATGCCGTGGTATGAAATTTTTCTTTGGCAAGGTTTTTGACTAGGCTATTTGACTCAAATAGGTTTCGCAGCACATCAATGGGTGGTATGTACAAGCCAAGTTCATATTCAGGTTCAGGAGGATATGGTGACCGATATGATGATGATCGTAATGAAGGCCGTTATGGAAGTAGAGATGATGATCGGAATGGTTATGGGAGAGAAAGAGAAGGGAGCTATAGGGATGATGACCGCTATGGTAGGTATGGGGACTCGTATGGTCGTGATGGAGATCGCTATGGTAGAGATTCCGATGAACGTTATAGCAGAGATGGTTACAGGGATGATGATCACCAGGGAAGAAGTCGAAGCATTGATGACTACCAGTATAGCTCGAGAGGTAGGAGCTCCGACAGAGAAAGGGACCGTGCTTATGATGATGATGGTCAATATTCATCCAAGTAAGTTAATTCTATATCTTGTTAGGGTTTTGCTGATTTTACTGGTTAACCTTTAGTTATGCATTTGTCATCAGATTCTTCAACATGTTCTCTGATTTGTTTATTTGTTTGTATGAGAGAATGAATTCATTCAATGGTTGGTTATGTGATCACTGTTACATTGAATCATTCCCAAAGGAGCTGGTTGCTTAGAAAAGATAATGCAGTAAAAACAAGGAACTCAATTGAATGCAATTTTGGCACTATAATGAACTTAGCATACCTTACGGACTGTTTAAACCAGTGCAATGCTTGTCTAGAAAGTTTATATTCCCATACATGTGAACCATGTTGATTAATCAATATGAACTTGATCTAGAAGCCATTTTAACTTGAGCCCTTTCTTATAGCAGAGGAAGTGGTGCTAGAGCTGATGACCATTCCCAAGATGGAAGGTAACTTTAGTGTGCCTGTTTCAAATTTTGGTGTTTTTAATAATTTGGGTCAATATTGGGATTTGTACATCCCGGAAGATATATAGCTTTCTTTTCAGTTTTGGTTAGCCTTTTGCATAAATTGTGAGGTTGCACACCATCTGGCATCATTTTAATGCAATACATTTATAAATAAATAATTCAAGACAATGTTTCTGACTAGGATGAGCACTATTTATGTATTCACAACTGCATCTCCTCCTTGTACCAGTTATTCAGGCAAGCGGCTTGACCGGAAATTTTCTGAACAAAATCTTGGTGCTCCTCCTAGTTATGAAGAGGCTTTGGGCGACGCTCGTAGCCCTGCTCACAGTGAAAGGTAATAATTTGTAGCATGGTCCTGCATTTGAACTATGTTCAGTATACTTGAAATAGAATTGACTTTGCTATTGTTAAAGGGGTGGAGAAACTTCAGCAGCATCTGCTCCCAAAACATCTGCTTCTGTGGGCACTAGTCCAAGCCAAGCAACCCCTGCTCCTGCCACGTCTGCAGCTCCTGCTTCTGCTTCCCCTGTCCCTGTCCCTGCTCCTGCTCGTGCCCCTGCCTCTGCCCCTGCTCCTCCTGCAAACAAGGAAGTTGATGGCTTTGATGAATTTGATCCACGCGGTTCATTTTCAGGTACTGAACTTTTCTGATACTAATTGTGTCATCTTACTGCCCTAGTGTTATGTTAATAACTTTACCACATTACTTTTGCATAGTGCAGAATTTGTTGATGTCATAGATTTTTTTATTTTTATTTTTTTTGTACGGGATAAAAAGTACGTTTGTAAGTTTTGTATAGTTGGGAATTGGGTGTTATTGAACTCTCTTGACCAATTTTTAGACTATGTAGCATGTGGAGGTGTATAGGTCTCTCTCTCTCTCTCTCTTCTCTCTCTCTCAAATCGTAGTTGCACTAAGTGGGGTGCAGAGGGTGTGAGGGCACATAGAAGAGTGCAAGGTTGGAAATGCCGGGGGGGCATTTTTGTATTTTAATTATAAGTATATGAATAAATTGGATTTTTTTTTTTGTGCTTAATTGTTTTGGAAAGAACAAAAAGCAAGAGGTTTGGGTAATCTATACCATATTGAATTGTGCATTTTTTGCTCTTATTTTATTCTAATATAGATTGATATGTTTGATAATTTTTTTTACCACACATACTATGTATCTGTTACCCATAGATTTTATTTTATTTTTTTGGTATTCATGTGATTGAGTTATTGCATCTCAGTTGGAACCACGACTGTATCTTGCTGAGAATGCCTTATAACTCAAATTTTTGACCGGAACCACGGAATTGTGGTTCTAGAACAGAAAGGTCACCCCTAGAAGGAGGTTCTTGCAACTACAACCATTTCACTGTGAAAGAATATGATCATCATCATATTTTGTTCACAATTACTTTATGCAAAGCACAGCGACTTCACAACTTTTTCAATCACCAGAGTTTGCTTGTTATTTTATGTCACAGTACAGAGGGAATTCTCATTAAACTGGAAAACAAAGTCCATTAAAGTATTTTACCTTCATGGCCTTTCTGTTTTCAAAGCAAATAATTGGAGCCCCTCTGCACATAAATGCAACTAATGTGATTGGCAACATTTGGTCTAGGCAGTTATTGTTGGAAGAGGTGCCAAAACTGACAATTCTATTTGCACAGCTGCTATATTTTGAAACTCATATTTTGTTTTCTATTTGATCAGCTGCCCGAACTACCTCAAATGGTGCTGAAATGGACTTACTCGGTTCTTTGTCAGACTCATTGGCTATAGTACCAGTTACAACATATGCAGCTGCAACCCCTGAAGTTAATGCCCCAGCGAACTTCAGCTCTGGACCCACATTTGCAGCCACGGCAGCATCCACTGTCACAAACCAGGTAGGCTTGATGTTATTAACGTAGGAACCATATAAACTTCGTTTTCATTAAATTGATTCATGAAATAACTCATACTAAATTGGCCAAGGAGCCTTTCATTTTCTCTGAAAATTTTGCTATAGTTTGATTGAAGTTGTCAATATATCTTGTGCAGCCTTATATCATTTAATTATTATTATTATTTGCTGTTGCATCCATAAAATTGAAATTATTCCATATTTCTTCCCCATATTCTTATTTTGGAAGACTTGCATTCCATTTTTTAAAGAAAAATTAATCATTTCGCTTTTTTCCAATTTATTGATAATCGTCGTAGTCAGTGGAATAATATAAGAACGTAATCTGATGCTTTCATTGTGAAGTCTCCATGTATACGAGTGTCGCTCTTCCCTTTCCACTCCCTCTCCCCTTCAAACCCTTATTAGCTTTTCTTGGAACACACAAGATTTTCACAAAATGGGACACAGATGCAAGATGAAGGTGCGGGATCCACATTTGGGGCCTACCTTTTGTCTCACATTTGTGTCCCAATATGTGAAAACCTTCTATCCACGTAGGCTTCCTCAGCTTTTATTCATCTCTAATTATAAAATATTTATATTTGTTGAACTGATTTTGTCATTTCTATGCAGCCTTTTGAAGACCCATTTGGCGATGGTCCTTTTAAAGCTCTCCCTTCTACAGGTGCTTCCCCAGCTCAACCCCAGAATATTGCTCCTACATCCGTCAATCCCAATGCCCAGTTCTCAACCCAAGGCTTTCCGGCCTCCAGTCAGAACGCTGATATTTTAGAGGGTATTCTCCCAACATCCGGACCTTCACAGACGGGATTTCCAGCTCAAGTCGGCCAGCCTGCATCAATGATGGGTTTTTCAGCTCAAGCGGGCCCACCTACACCACAGACAAGTTTTCCACCCAGCCAACCTGCAACACATTCTGGTTTTCAAGGTCAACCCAGCCAACCTCAACCACAGACTGGTTTTTTGGGGCAAGCCAGCCTGCCAACATCACAGGCTGGTTTTATGACCGAAAGTGGCCAGCCTGCACCAATGACAGGTTTTCCGGGTCAAACTGTCCATCCCGCAACACATTATGGTTTTCCCGGTCAAACTGGCCAACCTCAACTACAGACTAGTTTTTCGGCTCAAGCTAACCAACCTGCATCACAGCCTGGTTTTATGACCCAAAGCGGCCAGCCTGCACCAATGACAAGTTTTCAGGCTCAAACTGGTCAACTTGGACAGCCAACGACTTTTCCAGCTCCAAGTTCTCAATCTGCACAGCCAAGTGCTAATTTTTATGGGAACTTCAACCAGCAGCCAAGATCTGCTGCTCCGGCAGCTCCACACATGGCTTCTCAAGCTACTGCTGGACAGACCACACAGTACAACACCGGAAACTTCCTTCCACAAACCAGTCCTGCAGTGGGACCAGCAGCACAGCATAACAATGATGTCATGGGTAATTTCAATCCACAAGTACAACCAACTACTACCATAACCTCTCAACCAGGACCACTTGCTATAGTTGCCCAACCAGCCAAGGAAAAGTTCGAGCCCAAGTCTACGGTTTGGACTGACACCCTGAACCGAGGGCTAGTCAATTTGAATATATCTGGATGTGAGTTCTTATACAATAACTTTTACTTCCCAAGTACCAAAAAAAAAAAATAAAAAAAAATGGTGTTTCGGAGCTTCTTTGTGATCTAAAAGATCTAACTTGAGTATCTTGTCCATATGCAGCTAAAATAAATCCACTGGCGGATATCGGAATTGATTTTGATGCACTAAACCGCAAGGAAAAGAGAATGGAGAAGCCTACAACGGCAACTGTGACGTCAACTGTTACTATGGGTAAAGCCATGGGATCAGGTTCTGGGATAGGCCGTGCCGGTGCAGGTGCCATCAGGCCTCCACCAAACTCCATGATGGGTTCGGGCATGGGTATGGGTATGGGTATGGGTATGGGTATGGGTATGGGTATGGGTATGGGTGGTGCTCCTGGTGCAGCCATGGGTATGGGAGGCTATGGAGGAATGAATCAAATGGGGATGAATAGGCCTATGAATGTGGGCATGGGTATGGGTATGGGGATGGGTATGGCTCAAGGACCCCAAATGCAACCAACTGGATTCCCTCCCGGATCTACCATGCCCGGTGGATATAACCCAATGATGGGCAGGGGTGGTTATGCTCCCCAACAACCATATGGTGGTGGATACCGATGAGATCAAGCCACCAGGTTGCATTGAGATTGACAAAAAGATTGGACAGCGGGCCAGGTGGCAATCTCCGAATCTCTCTGATGCATGATGATGCCTGGTCCATCCTGCTTTTGGTGTTAAGAGGTTTATTTTTCTTTAACAGTTGTAATTTTTTGGGGAAGCTGCTTGTAGAAATGTATTATCTATCATGTCTTTGATGATCTTTTTTGTTGTAGTTGCTTTGTTTCTTTTTGGTCATAAGAGATGTGTAGATGAGCTATTATTGGTGGTGGGTCAGTTGTGAAGTTGTATACCATTGAGGACAACCTTTCTGAGGTGCCTCTTTAATACATTCACTTTTTGTGATTTGTCAGATTTTATAGTATGGCATGCCTACCTGCTGAAAAATAAAAATTGGTAATTCATATTTTTGGCACTTTCAACCCCCTTTTGTTTAGTTAATGTGCAGTTAATTTCTTGATGTTTAGAATATGAGCACGACTTATAGTTTTTGAAATAGAGTGCGTTAACAAGTGTGTTAATGGTAGTAGTAAAATGACTTGAATACCTCTCTCTTCTCTTTCTCTACATCCCTTAGAGATTATCTATTCCAAGTAGGTTTGCAACTTGAGCAAGTTAAGTTGGGCTGAAGATTTGTACAAATTTAGCTTTTAATTGTAGAGGAATTTTTTTAAGCTCGTTGTTTTTAATTATCGTAAATTAATTTATTATACTTTTTAAAAATAAAAACAACACAATTACGAACACAAAACATAATAATGAAAAATTGGTTAAAGTTGTGTATCAAGTTATCTGAATTGGATCTAAGTTGCACCCCATGGGTGGCCATCTCTGTGGACAACTCAGCATTATTTTAGCAAAGAGTAATCCTAGAGATTTTAAAAGTTTTACTAAAATTTTTGTAAAATGTTTTATATAGGGATGGGTCTCACACCTCTGTGAGACATATTTCCATCCCATGAGAGACGTTGGTAAAATTTTTTGAGATCTCTAATATTTTTGCTTAGCAAATGCTTGATGATATTTGAACCTATGTTCAAACTTCACTAAATGATAGAACTCACAAAAGGCGGTGTTTGGGAAAAAAAATTTTAAGTTTTTTTTCACTAAAAGACAAATTGGTTACAAAATAAAAAAAAATACATCCAAACAAAATATCACATCAAACCCCATAATCATTTCATTTTTTCTCACACAAACATCATATCAAACCACAAAAAAATCTAACTATCTTCCCAAATACAAAAAAAAATTTCTTCAATAATATCCTACAACTAAAAAACCTACAAAAAAACTCACTTCCCAAACACCCACAAAAACATTGCCGGTTGTTTCCCGCCATAAACATAAGAACACTTGATCCCAAAATTAATTTCCCCCATTGATCCTAAAATTACACCAATCGAATCATCAAAATGCATCTGGACAATTTGCCCCCTGAGGTTTATATTTCATAACAAATTACCCCCTAATTTCTTATGCAAATATAGCATTTAGGGGGGAATTCGTAATTTCTCAAACCTCAGGGGGGCATCTGTAATTTAGCCAAACCTCGAGGGGTGTATATGTAATTTGCCCAAAAATCTAACTATCTTCCCAAATACAAAAAAAAAATTCTCCAATAATATCCTACAACTAAAAAACCTACAAAAAAACTCACTTCCCAAACACCCACAAAAACATTGCCAGTTGTTTCCCGCCATAAACATAAGAACACTTGATCCCAAAATTAATTTCCCCCATTGATCCTAAAATTACACCAATCAAATCATCAAAATGCATCTGGGTAAAATGTTTAACTAAAGACAGATGCATGATCTGAACTATAACTTTCAGTCTTGATGACAATTTGGGCAAAAGTGTGTTTGTTACAGAAGACCAAAATAAATAAATAAAAGAAGAAATACATGCAATGCGACAAAAAGACAAGTTTCCTCATGCATACCAGACGACAAAAACCTGGATTGTATCAATCATACAGTAATGGCATTGATTTATTCATGTGTGATTGCACATATATCAGACTTTTGTATCCTTCTAGTCAATCACTGCAATTGTTTCCGTATCTCCAAGGAATGCTGCAATCAGATACCCACAGGCTCCTTTCCCATTGGTAGAAGTCGCTGCAGTGGTCCCACCTGTCATTCCCTTCAAGTAAAACACGCTATCACTGGTTTACCAGAGAAAAAAAGAAGGCCACCATGAACTCACACAATTGGGGATGTGGATTTGGATACATTTGTCCAGTAGCCTGGAAATGGGTGTTTGAAAAAAGATGCAAATGTGGCCAAAGATGTAGAAACATCAACTTGCGTAAAACTTGAAAGAGAGCAAAGTCCAAATAAATAGGGAACACATTCAGGTTTGGCTATTGCCCTTATTGAGGAACCATGAAAAGTATTTTCACATGTTAAGTCACTCCTGCAAAAGAACAGCATCACCACTCAAGGACTAGAACCATATTGATGTGACTGTTTGTTCTGCCACTCAATGTAACAGTGATCACATAACCAGCAATGGTGATGTGACTGTTTATTCAACCACTGACAATACTCACCTCACCAGATAACAATACAACAAAAAAATTGATACTAGAGATGGTACACAATTTGACACAATATATATATAGTTGGGGAAAGCCGTTCAAGATGGTGATTTTGCAAGGGTGTGCAAAGCATTTTTTGAGGATTCAGCTATCGATTAAAATATATATAAATCTACATACTTTAAACACAAGATCAAACTGAATTTATGTTTCATTTATCAGTTGCAATTTTTGAAATTCCATACCTTCATATATTTTACTCCAAAAAGACTTGAATCCTGTCGCCCATTGTGTCCTTGAAATCTAACAACTGCTTCCCTCCCACTTCCAAAGCTGCATCATCCAGCAGTGCCTTGATGTTTACACCCACTAATGCTGTGTACAAAGAACATAAAAAATTTAGTAATGTCCATTCATCAGGAACACAATCAATTCCAACAAGTTCATAAAGAACACGAATAATACCTGGAACTATATTTGTGAGTCCATCCAAGAATCCAGCCTGATAAAAACAGTTGCTCACTTGTCTTAAATAAAATTTCAGTATCATACAAGTAATCATGCTTATGTTGAGATGGGTATTGTCATCTTGAAGACATCTATCATGCGGATTGAGGTTAAGGAGTGTTGAATAGCCTTTATACACATTGTTAGGCCAATTTCCTAACAAGCTTTTGGGACAATTGATGACTTAACATGGTATCAAAGCTCAGGTTAGGGTAAATCTTGGATTCAAGTCTCTCCATTTGCATTTGTTCATCGTTCCAAAGAATGATTTTTAGGGAGAAAAACCCTCAGCCGAACCTGGAAAAGGCCAGAAAAGCATCCAAGAGTGCAAAACAAGGATGGGTACCCCTCCAAGAACCCTAGTCAGCACTTACAATACAGGTAGGTTCAAGTAAACTCAAAACCGAATAAAGATCTCAGAAAAAAATACCATTTTTTTTCAAAATATAAAGATTAATAGAAAAGATAAATCAAATGAACTAGAAAAACTCCAAAAAAATTACATCCAAATAATATTAAAAAAATAAGGGTTAGCTCCCATAAGCACATATATTTATATTAAAGTAATCCAAAGTACATAATTGCCCCTTAGACCACTAAAACACAAAACACCTAACAGTTTTTATCATAATTGCTTTAACTAAACCCACATACCACGCAAGCAAACGCCATTGTGTCTCATGACTTTCAAAAGTCAAATATTCTTCTCCCAATTAACATATAAAAACAATGTATGATGTATAAGAAATTACCAAAATGTTTTTCCTTTTAAGATATCAGAATGTGCGATGAACAAGAAACGAAATGACAAAAGAGTTTTTTTTTTCCTTTCTTTTATTTACCCATTTCTTATTTTGTGGCCAATCACCAATGTGTTTAAGCCAACCAGATCATCTAAACTGGGCAATTCAGATCATCTGACCAATGACACCACTCTAAATATTTCATAAAATATACAGTATGATTAGTTGGCTGGTGAGTTTATATTTCCTAAATCATAGCTGGTACATTTACAGCAACCATAATCAGTTTTAATGCAGCATTTTAGCTGTCAATGTGATATGCTGACAGTAGTTATATAGCATTTGGGGTGATTTGACAATATGCTTGAATGACTTACAGGAATCCTAACATCAAGTCTTTCAAATCCATCTTGTCCGGTAATTTTGACTCGCAATGTACGAGACCAGATCCCTGAAAATGGATCCCTTGTACCATCTGCACCATAGTTATTGTATACATCAGGAGTTATAACTTCAACCACAGGATCTTGTGGATTTTGATCTCTCTGATCTGTATCCTCTTGAGTCCCCTGTTGAAAACTGTATGCATTGCTGCTTGTTGACAAATAACCTAACATGTAGAAAAATTAGGAAGGAAGAAAAGGTGTAATTGGGCCAATGTTCAAGAAATTATAGAATGTCAATGCAAAAGTAAACCAGAAATTTAGCTGCCTAGATCACAGCCTTGGATGAATTATAAAAGGGGAGTGTTATTCGTATCTAGTAACGAATTTGTTTTGTATTGTGTGTGTAGCTGACATAACTACTAGTTAGGGAGTTTGTTATAAATGTCTCAGTCAGTTTTAATATATATGTAAGAGTGTGGTGAGTGATGTATTGTGTTTAATGAAAGCTAATGAAATTCTTTTTCTACTAAACATTCTCTCTCTAAACTTCATCTTCTCTGCATTCACTGCACTTCATCCGATTCGCACTCCACTTTTTGTGTTATTCTCCATTTATTGTGTGAAATTACAACAGTGTCCCTTTCTTTTTACTGTTGGGTGTTGCCAACTTTGAACATCATGTAATAGACAGGCATTATTGTAGGACAAAAACTGGAGTGCAGCCAGCTAAAAGAGGAGTGAATAGCACTCCCCATGTAAAACTGTGTTTCATCCCAATCAAGAAGCTAGTGTAAGATTCAAAAGTCTCTCCAAAGTGCTGGCTTCTTAAAAGCAAAGATTTTAAATAATGCTGATACAATTCTCAACTAATATTCACATATGACTACGAACACCATGGCCAAATTTTGCTATTTCTAAGCAGCTTGATTGGCTTAACACAATTCTCAACTACTGTTCACATATGACTACAAACACCATGGCCAAATTTTGCGATTTCTAAGCAGGCTGATTGGCTCAACTCCAGAACTGCTTATGTAGACTACAACTTTGACTCGGATGAGTCCACAAAACTACTCAAATTAAAGAAAATGGCTCAGAAAAACCCTGCTATGACAATCTGACAGTACATTGGGGATGACTTTCATAATAGAAGCATATTGATTATTGAGACCAAATAACAGCTTTGCCCATTTTGTACCTAGCATATTATTTTTTATACTTACCAGTCCCAAGCCTATCAGGCCTTAGAAACATCAATACTAAGGGTTTTCCCAAGATTGCCTTGTATTTGACCATGGATATAGCTTTGAACAAAGCTGACCAGAGAAAAAAGATCCATATACCCCCCAAGAAATTGGATTAAAGGTCCATTGAGTTGAGTTGGGTGATACCAAATATACAAAAAGCTAATTATTTAATGGACAGCAGGTGCTTTGCAGATGTGATGGAATCACTTCAAATTACAATGACATGGTTCTGACCCACCTCTCTGTGGAGAAAGTTGACCGGTGCTAGTAGAGTATTGCTTCTCTTCTTCGTAATATGTGTTGAAACCTAATATTTCTTTAACTTCTTCAAAAGATGGCATACTTCCAGGAGGGGGTACACGACCACCTTTGATGGCTGTTAGTGCATCCTGCAGATAGTCAATGGAAATTACTCACCAGTCTCTCTGAAATAGTATTCATAATAAATAAGTTGCCGATGAAGAGAAATAAGTGTTGTAGCAAAGACCATGTCTAAACAGGCCCAAGCAGTGGACGATGAAGTAAAACAAAAACTGGAACCAACAAATGGCAAGTATAAGGAAGTTGTTGACAAACATAGGTGCATCAAATTGTTCAAAGAAGGGGATTTAGTGGTGATTTTCTTGGACAAAGAAAGATTTCTACTTGCAACAAGTTGCTGCTTACAAAGTATGGCACATAAAAGGTTTTGTAAAAAACCAGCGACAATGCCTGTGATTAGTCTGCCCAGACACATGAAAATTTCCAAGACCTTTTCAGCGATGTTGATTTATTTGAGCATCAGTCAGAGGAGCCTCTCCATCCAGATTTAAACTCAGGGTCGAGCTCTCTCCAAAGAGAGGGGATTGGTGAAGAACAGGTGAAAGAAGAGTTCATAGAGAAGTTGGATAAATTATTTCTGGCGGATACACTCGGAATTGCGTCAAATTTGATAGTCTGATTGGAAACAGCAAGTTGAACAAACTCATTGCCTCCCAGCAATGGCACAAGCTGTATTTTACCAGATACCATCATTTAGACCTTTGAATTAGCAATTTTTCCGTCTTTCAAAAGTTTCATTTTAGTAATAACTTTGGCTAGGAATGCCCGTTTTTTATGTCGTCACTTTCTTAAACTTCCCAGTATCCAAATTTGATCTTAACTCAAATTTGCAAGTTCCGCCATTTTCTATTTTCTTTAATTATTTTTGTGTCTATCAAGGAATTAACATAATTAATTATTTCCTATTCAGATTATGTCTTCTCTTGTTATAAATAAGGATGTAAGCGTTATGGCAAGACAACTTTTATCAATGATTGTCAGCATTCTCTTTGAGATTTTCTTCCTTGTGAATTCAAGGCTCTTCTCATGGATTAACAATATCTAGTTTTTTGTGTGATATTTCGCTACGTCAAAATTTTTCCCATAAACTTCGGCAGAGAAAGCTTAGTTGCAAAAGAAGGAGAAGAAGAAGAAGAAGAAGAAGATCTGACCTCCATAGCACGAATAGAAACCCCTATTAAAGAAAGTGGATAGACCACAAGTTTATAACCAAGGTCCTCAAGTTCAATAGGATTGAGAATTGGTGTTTTCCCTCCGCCTTCGAGCATATTTGCCTGCACAAGGTTAAAGAGTTTTCTCAGTCAGCACAGTTTATTTGATATGCTAACAGTGATCTTCCAACACTAATAAGTCCAGGTCAACAAGTCTGACCAAGTACCTAAGATCAAATCACAATGTCACATTCAAACAATAAACAGGACGTAGAGAGAAGCTACCAAATAGACTGATGCCATTGTCTTTATGGCTAAATAACATAAAACGATCCATTCATATAAAGAAAATGATTAGGTGGCTCATCTGTAATGTTTCTTCCAGAATGCTGACTTATGTTAACACCAGGAAAAAAGAATAAAGAAAATGATTAGGTGGCTCATTTTAGTAGCTCTTTCAATCCCAAAAACCTTAACCTACAATTTCCCCAATGAACACCTAAACCCCTTCCCCTACCTGTGGGCCCTTGATTTTGAACTAAACAGCATAACTACATGCCATCCAGATTTTAAGCGACCATGGATGCCAAGCAGTCTGCCTTTTTTAGAAACCAACCCAAATATTATGCTTTTCTATCTACAGATGCTAGAAATTTTCTTCTATGTATCTATGTGCCCTAATCCTACGTTAGTTTATAAGTAATATTCCTAGTTTACAAAAGCTATCCAACACTAGTTTGGTATAAAAAGCCACTTTGGTTGTGTTTTCGTTTTCTTTCTGTTTTTCATGTTTTTAGAAACAAAAACAATGAAAAAGTTCAAAAGCGTCCATTGTTTTCATCTTTATGCAACTTTTTTGGAGTTTTCTAAAAAGTGGGTCCAAGTACACAAACAAAATGGCATACCATCTTTGGAATTAGAGGATAAACATCACAAAAGGCCTTCATTTCTTCTTTTGAAGCAAGTGCATCAATGAAAAGAACATCTGCTCCAGCATCAGCTAGGGCCCGGGATCTCCAGATTGATTCATCAAAGGACACTGCTTGACGGGAATCTGTTCGTGCGACAATAACAATATCAGAACCACTTTCTTTCCGAGCATCAACAGCTGCTTTTATCCTCATCACTGCTTCCTCTCTAGAAACTACTTTTCTGCCTTGTGTATGACCGCAAGCTTTGGGAGACACCTTGCAATGAAAATATACCATAAGCAAAATGAATTCACAAAATGGTATGCAGCAAACAAAATAACACATTGCCCTCAATGTTGAAAACTAGGCTACCGAGGTTATAGAAAGCTATGCAAAGAGTGGTATTCACCCTCGGAGATTATACCCTATCTATTTGTGGAAAGCATAAAAAGTGGAACAACTCCATCTTGACATACTTGAATCCTTCCAAGAGATTGGAAAAGTTTTCCACATTGAAATGTTTTTCCTCCTTATCTTTAAAATAGGAATGAAGATTCCAAAATCAAAATAAGCATATTTGAAGGAGGCAAGAATTGAGCTGAAGGCTCCAATGAGCTGAATCAAGAAGAGGCTAGTGATTCAGGGGTACCTTACAAGTACATAGGCAAGAAACATTGCCTGGTCTGGCCACACAGACCAAGGTGACATGAGATAACACTGAAGATAGTGCAAATACAGGTCCTTCTATGGTTCAAATTGTAGTTTTTTCACAACTTTAACCACCAAAGTTTATATTTACTTTTTCTTTTGCCACAAGTTAAATGTTGCCATTTTTTTTATCAACAATAAAATTTTAGGGTATTAATGCTTTTTGTGCCTACATGTAAATCATAGTTACATATCCAAATAGCAATAGATCACGTCAGATACTTCTTGGCTAAGTTCATAAATTCTAAAACATCAGGACTGATCTGATCCCACCCTAATTGATGCTAACCCCTGGATCCTGACACACATGTTGAAGCTATGTAACATAATAGTAGCTGTCAGCCAAATTTAAAATGCTCTCATAGTAGAAGTGCTTTGAACTCCCAGTCTTACAAGTCAGTGATCTCAAATTTGGCAAAATGTGATCCAAAGAGCAGTAGAATCGATTTGATTTGAGAGAACAAAGAGAAGGGAAGCAAAAAGTAAATTAACCACAAAGGTGCTATATGGATATGAAAATTTGTTTATATTAAATGAACCTGATCCTCGAGAATAATTCCTGCAAAGCCAGCACTTATATATCCTTTCACAGTCCTCTTGACATTCATTGCGTTACCATACCCATTGTCACCATCCCCAATGATGGGAATTGACACGGCTTGGGTTATTTGATGCCCTTGATCCACCATTTCTCCATAAGAAATAAGTCCTGTATCAGGCAACCCCAACCGAGAAGCTGATATGCCAAATCCTAGTCAAAGCACAATATGCAATTAGTAAGTCTGTCCTTCTAAAGAACAGTCACAGTCAAGAACAGTCATTTGACTATGCAATCATAAGAAGCAGATTATATTTTGAAAATGTGATCAAGAACAGTCATAGTCACACAGCAAACAAGGCCACCTGCAATATAAAGCCACCAGCTGTAGCAGCTTAAGGGTAAGGCAACTTAGGTGTTCGCCTAGGACCCGAGTAGAGAAGGGCCCCATTTATCATATATTTACTCTGGGTATACACAAAAGAAACCATCAATCAAAATATTTCACAAAATTAAAAAGGAAACAAAAATATTTTACTAAATAAATAAAAATTCATCAAATTTTATATATCATTTTCACAGTCATCTCAGTATAGGGTTTAGGGGCTCTCTACCTCTTCTTCCTTTACAGTGAAAAATCTCTTCTTGACTACCAAAATAACGGTTCTTCTTCACTTGGCTATCAAAATTAGAACATATATATTTATTTAATTGTTTTTTTCCCACAAAATATTAAATATTACATGATTTGATAAATTATCAAAACTGTTTTGATCGCGAAGGTTAGAGACATTGGATGACTGTCCAGCAAAAAATTCAAATTAGAATGAATAAAATTGAGATTCACATATTCAGATTACAATGAATAAAATTGAAATTCACATATTCTTCAATTCAAAACCCCAATACAAACTATTGGGAATCAAATTGACTTTCAAATTCTAGCCAAACCCAAATTACACATGCAATTATAGTACAAGACAGGACAGCCAAAAAACTCTAGGGTTTTAGCAAATACCAGTGGTGAAGCAGAAATTAAAGCCAGCTTTCTCCACAAGCTTTGCACTGAGAGCATCGAAACAAGCAGGTCCCTGATGAATCCCCGGCGAATCGAGAATCCGCCGGAGTGCCTTCGCTTTAGACTCTCCGGCGGTGGTGTCTCCGCCTGCAGAGTAAGCTGAGACTGTTCTACACACCCTTTTCGATGTGAAATTGATTGATTTGCTTTTGCTCGATGATTGAAGAAAAACCGAGGAGCTTTTGGGCAGTGAAACTAGACGATGGATTGGTGACCCGGTTTTGAAATTTGGAGGAGGAGAAAGAGAGACGTTGCAGGTGTTTCTGATGGCCATTGATGGCTTCATCTTCTCTCTCCTCTCTCTCTCTCTCTCTCTCTCTACTGGAAGCTCACTGGTTGGAAAAAAGCACACTACACTGACGAAGAACGAATATAAGCGTTGTTATTTTCAGGGCAAAAGTGGCTTCCGCCAAAACAGAATTTAATAAGTATTTTTTAAAACTGTTTCAAACTGCTCTGGTAGTAGCCTAATTAGTCCTGGATAAAAGAATTTATACCGGTATTTTTTGCAAATTACACTCACACCCTGAGGTTTATTTTCATTATTATATTAATACCCGAAGGTATTAAAAATTCCATCCCCTTCCCCATAATTGAAAATTGCCTTACATACTAAAAAGAGATGAAATTTTACAAGTGTATTTAAGGTTAGTTTGACAATTGAACTTTTTTTAATTTTTTATAAAAGAAAAATAGAGAAAATGAGTTACTTTTTTTATATTAATTTTTGATTAATTTAACCTATTCCCAAATAAAATTATAACAAGATTCATATCTTCTTTCAACTATTATACTCTCAATATAGTTTCATTATTTTTTATTATTATTATGACCGTTCTCTTTTCCCAAGGTTCTACTTTCCTCGTCTTCCGTTTTTGTAGTGTTAACAAAATCACTCTTTGATTCATAGCCAGTGGAAATCTACCAAAACAAAAAAAAAGAAGATAAATACAGAGAAAGAGAAGATAAAAAACAATAGAGAGAGAAGAGACGTGCATGAAAATTCTCAATTATCAAAAACGCTCTAAAAAATTTATTGGACATCTCATTGCAGCGTACACAAGCATAAGGAAATATAAAGACAGAAAGAAAATAGGAAAATTATTCAATATTTCCGGCGTACCACGTGTCTAAACTCCCTAAACAATAATCATTCAATATGCCTCCTTATGTTCTCCAATCCCCCAACACAATACCTCACCTACCCACCTTCTCCACCAATCATAATACTATGAAATACTACGTGTTCATACTCCGAGATTACTGAATAACTACCCAAGAAAATATTATTGAAACAAAAATTCCTAAATTATCGGTTGACGCCTTCGCCTAAAATAGGTGCAAAATTCTACTCCTTGACCCCATCAATTGCTTTCTCCAGTTTTTGAGCTCTCAGCTATAGCTTTTTGACTCTGATTTCCCAAACCAGACTCCTCATCGCCATGCTTGCTTCGCTCAACTTCTTCATCAGCAACATCAGCACGTTTTTTATCCTCTTCTTTATCACCCCTGGCCAGAAGCATGGATGTTCAAATATTAGTATACTGGCAGCAGAAAGGCAAACATCCCATGAATCTGATTGGGCGACCCCATGCAAACAACAATCAACCATGTACTCATTTTGATTTTCATCATAGACTAAAAATTGGGCTACAATTTTCAGTTGTATTGGATGCTAGAAGAACAAAACTGTAACAAAATGAGTAGTTTTCCTACAAAGATAAATTGCTCATGAACAGGCTGCAAGGCCTACCACAAAATCTTGTAATTGGAAATTTTCAAAATTCCCACCAATAAATTCCAATAAGTTCAAAAACCCTAATCAAGATTATCTTGTTATCACTCAAGATAAGCTCCTGATACAATTGCACTCAAGACCCAATCTAAGGCTTGGCTTGTTAAGACGTTAACATGCCTAAACCACCTAAATAATGAGCCCGATCTTGAGTTAGGTTGTTTAATAGAACTCCTAATTACTGCAAAATAACAGAAAAGGGTCTCCACGAAAAACTGAAATATACGTACCCAGAATAAATAACAAGCCCAACGACAACAGCAGCAAAAGCTACGAAGTACATCCAGTCAACCTGAGGAGGAATACTGGATTCAGATTGGCAGGTCTAAAGATTGTAACAAATATTAACTTCAACGTTTAAACTTAGAATTTATTTGGATCTCCGATGAAATACTAATAAATTTTGTTCTTACGAACCTTCTCATGGTATGCAAAGATGCGAATCAAAACAGTCCACATATCTGAGGTCAGCAAAGACAGGTTTAGCATTGTGGAACCACAGATCTGCATGGAATGAAAAAATATTTAGAAGAAAGACTAATTGGATAAAACTAATAGTTGCTTGTAGTCGGTAAAATTATTCAATTGAATCAATAGTGTAGTTTCATACGATTGCAGTGGAGAAATTATATCTACTTAAGCACAAGATATTAAAAAATGAAACATTCTTAGGCAAAGAGAATAATTTCCGCAACTTGAACATTGCAAGTTCGTGATTTAGAATATTTTTGTCACTAGTGTAAAATATAATAACTGGTACATTTGTCATAAGGACAATTTTCAAGAAACAATCCATTTTCTTTTGTGGACATTCTTGTCCTGGCAACTTTGACTTGAACCAAACCACTCCTCTGCACAAGGGCATAAAACACGAGGACTCTCCCTCTTCTGGGTTCCAATGGGCTTCTCTCATTCATTTTACTTTTATGATCTTTGCCAAAAATAGAGAAAAGGAAGAAACTCAACACAAGTAAATTTTGAGTCTTTGTTGCATATATGCAAAACCATTTTATCTAGACAATATAACTCAGCTGGGTTTCAATTAGTGTTGTAAATTTTCACAAATAAAATCATCTCTCATTTTTGTGCAACCTTAAAATGGAATTAGAGTGTAGAGAAAGGTGAAGCAGCACAATAATGAACACTTCGCCGTGCACCCCCATTTGGTCACAAGAAAATTGTAATGGAAAACTCCAAAAACTCAAGTCCATACCTTCAGCAAGAGGGGGACACCTGAGTAAAACAGAAACATAGCCACCGCAAATCCAATAAAAGGAATCACCTAAATTGAAAGAACATGACACATGTTAAACTAAACCCTGTGTTTTCATTTCTTTATTGAGAGAGAGACAATTGAAAAGTAGACTTACCGACCCAGAAGACCAGTGGATAGCTTTGAGCTCATTACGCTCAAGTATGCTTCTGAAAGCATTGTTAAAGAATACAAGTGGAAAACTATATATAAAAGATTGCAGAGTTGTTCTATATAACAAAAAGCAATAAATATAAGAAATAAAGTAAGGTAAATTACTATCATCCAACGTTAGCAAACCTATTTGATTCTCTAGAATGATGTAGCAATGCTCAATGCATGTTGGACATAATCATAAATTCTCTAACAACGAAAGTAGGATACATTTGGCAAGCACTAATAATAGCACCAAAAATGCCGAGCATTGCCATGAGTTCAACCCTATCAGCACTTTTTACAAAGAACTCCTTCAGAAGACAGAAACAGGATTAATAATGCAAAAATTAGATACACCACAATTCAAAAACGAATGAATAAAATAACTTGCACCCAAACACACGAGAGCACGCCTTCATATATGTAATATGGTACAGCAATTTGGTAGCGTCATGAGCCCCATTTGGTGACATAGCGCAACTAACTTGCAACAATTATTCAAAACTAATTTTTTTCTTGTCAATTGCTAATTTCTCATGAAGCAGAAGTTCAAAACCATCAAATTGAAAATACTGACTTATAATTAATTATCTTGAACCATGAAATTCAACATGAAATAGAATGTGCAGGTATACTAGTTAGTGTGTGTGTGTGTGTATGCGTGTGTGCATGTGTGTGTGTGTGAGAGAGAGAGAGAGAGAGAGAGAGAGCTACACTGGCCATTTAAAGAGTAATTGCACATTTTCACTCAACACAATGAAACAACCAGAAACTTCTAGCAATACTGGCTTTTAACAGAATAAGGTTTATAAAGAGACACCTAGGAGCAAAGACAACAAGGAGAATGAGTAACTTTGCACGGCCCTTTGTGTAAACCCAAAAAGATTCAATGACCACAGGGGAAGAGAGGGAAGAAAAATGGGAGGAAAGGAGGGTGGAGGGGAGAAGAGAGAGAGAAACAAAAGGAGATTCCAAGAAAATGGAGAGTGAGGAAGAAATATTTAGGGATATTCTAATAATTATGAAGCAGGGGAAATGGATGTAACCTCCTTTCAAGTAAAGAAGCCATTTAAATGGAAATAGACACATTCTTTTTCTAAATACAAAAATTCAATGAAATGGCCCACAAAACAAGATATTCATCTCCGTGGTCACAAAAAAGCATAGGGCAAACTTGCATACCTCACTGACATTACTGATAGCATAAAGTGTAGACCCCGCAATCACAAGCATGTCCCCTTTAAGTGGGCTGCTCCCTCCTACAAGAAATGATAAAACCATAACGTTCCAGTATATATAGATGCCTAAATTGATAAATGTCAACAAAATCTATGTGAAAGATAGATTAGACTAGAAATTGGCAAATTATACCCTGCAACCTAAGCAGCACAAACAGTAAATTGATAAATGTCAACAAAATCTATGTGAAAGTGACTAGAAATTGGCATATTATACCCTGCAACCTAAGCTCCACAAACACTTCAAAGAAGGCAGTATGTCTTTGACACGCATCAAATACTGACACCCCTCGAACACTTCCCGACACTAATTAGACACTACCCAACACATGCCAGATACGAGTATAAACATGTACTATTATTTTTAAAATTAAAAAATAAACTCGAACCTGATTCAAACACTTATGGGACACACGTGTCCATCACTTTAACATAAAACTCATTACAAGTTTAAACAAAATAACTTAGAATCTAATGATTATATATGTACTGTTAAAAATACTGTATTATTATTGGTTAATTACAAGATTGTTGTGTTACAAGATTAATACATTACAATTCCTATACAATCTATATATAGAAGAAAATGTGGTAGTAGGTGTAGTGGAGGTGATAGTGGGTTAGGTGAAGTGGTACAATTCCTATACAATCTATATATAGAAGAAAATGTGGTAGTAGGTGTAGTGGAGGTGATAGTGGGTTAGGTGAAGTGGAGTGTGTGGTGAAGTGGAGGTAGGTGAAGTGGAGTGTGTAGTGGAGTAGGTGAAGGTAAAGATGGGAAATTCTAACATGTACAGATTTATACCTAATTATCTATTAATTACAAAATAATAAAACCAAACCAGACCTTGTATCCCGATCAAATGGGGTTAGCTACACGAATCATTTTTCTTCATTCTGCTCTGTGAATTATATAGCTATGGCCACATAAATGTCAAGAAGCATCTTATACATTCAAAAGCTAGCCTCTAGTGCATTGTGCTTATCATATTTTGTGTTTTCCATCTCATTCTCCTCTAGTGCATTGTGCTTATCATACAATCCACATAAACATAACCAGTTAACCAGGCAACATCACCTTTTTCAGGAAACTGGGATTACATGCATCAGAATTCACAAATCTCACAGACAACCCGAAACTACAGCACACCCTCGTCCCCCGTTTTGAAAAAAAAAAAAAGAGGGTAAAAATTACTAGAAAAAATACAAATATCGCCATAGCAGGAGAAGGAGCATATAAAGAACAACACAAAGTTCAAAAAAATTACATAAATGACATTTACCTGACCGATCTTTCGCGTGTACATCTGAAAAGATAATCACAACAAGACCAGCAACACAGATAGCAACACCAGCAAATTTTCTATATCTGTATTTTGTCTTTAAGAAAAACCAAGTGAGAAGTATGACAGACGGTATTGACCAACAATCCAGCAGCATAACACTTGTTAAGGATGTGTACTGATATGCCTTCACCACTGCATGACAAAGATCATCAAATCAACTCCTGTGACAACTTTTTCAAATCAACAAAGAATTCATCATCTATGCATCATATGTTTGTGTGTATCTTTTAGCTGGGATGTTCCAAATTGCCTTTTTTTCATCAAGAATTTCCTAATGAAAATAGAGTGTTGTGTGCTTTTTTACAAGGAAAATAAATGAATTCCATAAGCATATTCATCATTACTTTCATTTACAGCTACGAAAATTAGTTCTCAAAAATGATACATCCTCATAGTATATCGTTTGGTCTCAAAACTATTATTAAAGATCAAAGTTTTTAATGTTAAATTTGACACATCTTAATTTATCAAAAAACAAATTGACACTTCTTAAACATAGGTTGATATTTTTCTCGAAACAATGGTAGTCTGAACTAGCATAATTGTGTATTATTAATTCATCAATTATATCCTTGATAACCCATTAATTGGTTTTCAAACCAACTGCTTAAACTTCTGATTAAACTTATAATTTTGGTAATGTTCTTTGTTGCATTCCAGCTTTATACTTCGAGAAGTTTTAATGCAAAATAAATTCAAGAGGGAAGAGTAGCAACCACTGACTGGAAATCAAAACTGAAAAAACAAACTCTCCTACCTAATGCAATCTAACCTAATAAAAAATTGAACAAAAAAGTCTCGAAATTAGGTACATAAACCAAATGACTGGACCTCTAACTGTGATGTATGACACTTGTGAGATAAAAGTAACATGCATTTAGATAATTGGAGACTTACAAAATAAGGAAAGTACGTACAATTTAGAAAAACAATGAGTGCAGCATCTTGTTTAATTTTAGGATGCACTGAAAAACAATACATATTTATATATCCACTTCTAACACAAAAAATAAAATGCAAGGTAATATCACCATTAGTCATTTAGTATGATACTTACCAAGATAATTGCCCTCTACATCTACCAAACCAAGAAGTATGTAGCAATACCATTTTGCCTGCAAAGATTCAAAAAAATGAAGCATGCATTTAATGGTGCAGTGAAAGAGCACCAACACATCATACATTCAGTAACAAACAATTACAAAAATGTAAAAATACCCCATGAAAATATTGACAATTAAAACAATTTGCCCTTGGGACCTTAACACTCGTATGGAAATTGGAATCCTGCTCTACATTCTAGCACTAGTAAAGCAGATCATATCATTCTATCACCAACATGCTTCAAAAGCATGTAACCACCTCTCCTAATGTCAGTGTCAGTTAAGCAATATCAAGAGGCTTGTTGGCAATGCATACTTTAGTTATTTAGATCTCTCAGAACTTCTACCTCCTTTTAGAGCCTTAAAACTGTAAAGGAATTTTTTCCTGGGTTTACACATCTATAATCCAAAAAAAATGTTAGCACACATAAAACAAACCCAACATTAATAGACTCTTCTCTTAAAGCTGCTTTGGGACTTTTAAGCATGGCTCCAATTCATATTTCCTTTTTAGTCCACTCATCGTAGCAACGGAAGAGTAGTTCTTGATTTCAACCACTATTTTGCTCCATAAAACATCCAAACAAATAAGCCAGTGTAAACAAACAAAAAAAAATATTATGTCAGCATTGCAATTAAAAATGCAACAATAGCATTAATTTACTCATGAAATGAGAACACCTAAAGCTGAAGAACAAACCACTAACCTTGAGAGCTTTTCTCCGATACAGTAAAATGCCACCATACACTATCGCCAAGAACACATAATTTAGAAAAGTCTGCGAGGTTGGTGCATTAATTCCTATAATACACAAAAAGTATAAAAAAAAAAGAAAAGAAAAGAAAATCAAATCAAATTAGAATATACTGCCAAGGGTCAAAATCATCATTCTGAACAAATTAATACCATGTTAAGAATGTGAAAGACAGATTAATATATGATATATCAACAAAATTTTGTAATTTTCCGCGCCCATGAACAGTAAGCATAAGAACATTTAACATCAAAGAGGTGAATTCATAATGACAATTGGAAATACACATAAGCTGGCCTGGACACCGGTGGGATTAGTAAGTGTGTGCATAAGATGACCAAGACAACCGATTATAAAAAATAAAAAATAAAAAATAAAAAATAAAAAATAAAATATTGGAAATGCACATAAGAATAAAAACCAATTTATTCTCTTTCTCCATAAGAAACTGGAATAACAGTCTAATTGAGAGTGCAAATCCTAATAAATAAACAAAAACCCATATGTATAAATGAATAATATAAAGGGGCCAGCTTCCCTCTAGTCCGAACTGGAGGGTACTGTTGGGTCCATGGGGGTCTCACGAGTCTCGTTTCAATAATCTGAACTGTTCAATATGTAGAACTTGTCAAGTACTATCTGTCTGCAAAAAAATCACGTTGATCGGATATCAATAGTTACGTGATCAAATCAGTTTTGTATAAAATAAATGGACGGTAAAAAAATAAACGGTTGATTGAAATCTAATCCGATGAGATAGCTATCGAAATCCGATCGGCATAATTTTTTATAAGCATATAACACTCAATGATTTCTAAACATTGAACGATTTAGATTATCGAGTTGTACACATTGAACAATTTAGATTATCAAAACGGCACCCGTGAGAGCCCACGGGGCCAGCCCTAATATAAATTGAACAAAAAAGTGACAGACCTCTTCTGGCAAGTTCAGATGAGGAAAACCCAGTAGAAGTGATCAGAAGAGAGAGGAACTGCCCTAACCCAAGACCCAACAATGTCTTCTTCGCCCAGATTTCCTTAAATGTCACCATATTTACTCTCTCTCTCCTCTCTAGAATTTGAAAAAACTAACAAATACCCAATTTGACAAAGAGCATAACATACTCAGAACCCCAATTGCCGAGTCCCCATTGCCTTCCCAAACCCTGAATTTTTGCAGTGAGTGTGAGCCTCAGAGTCAGAGAGGACTGAATACAAAAGAGTCCCTCTTTGTCACGCGACATATGTAAATATATATAGCTTTACAAAAAGGACTCATTTACAATGAGGAAAACATAGATAAATGTGATGATGACATCTAGAATGGAATTTGACTATGACAAAGATGCTTTTAATCTGGAAGACCTCCACTGAACCAACCAACGGTTGTGAGAGGCCAGACGAATTTTCTCTTTTTTGGTTCTCCACTCTCAAATCCTCGAACTAGTTCCTTATTTTTCATTCCATTTTCTTTTTCTTTTTTATCTTTTTTTTTTTGTTTGCAAAATCATTCCATTTTCTTAGATAAAACCAAATCAACCCATATTACTCTGTCTAGATAGAGATTTAGGGGATTCGGCAGGTAACTACCTTTGTGTGGGGCTACTGGAGAGTTAAAAGTCTATTTTTAGAATTTTTTATAATAATTTAAATTGTTCATTCTTTAAAATTCGTCGAGTTTATTATTTTTATAAAAAATCAAATTGATTGAATAATAATAATCAAAATAAATAATTCATACAAAACTGACCTGAACAGATGGTTGTCGTTATCTGATCTATTTGATTTTTTACAAAGATAATATACTCGACCAATTTTAAAATTTGAATAGTTCAGATTATTGAAACATGACCCAAAAGTAGGCCCAACGAGCAGGGTCAACTCTAACATTTTGGGCGCCCAAAGCAAACTTTTGATATGGGACCTCTCATACATTTAAAAATAAATAAATAAATAAATATGATCAAAAGATCATGTATTTAAATTTTGATCATATATACAATTATTAAATTTTATTTAAATATATAAAAAGTTTACAATAAATAGAAAAAAATTAAAATAATTTAAGTTGGAATACTAAATAAAAAGTGAACAAATTGTACACTTAAATACCATCGTATTCTTAACTACAAAAATGCTAATCTAATTTGCATAATTCAATTTATTAACTGAATAATTTTCAATGGATTAAATTGCTAATCAATTTTAAATTTGAAATGTTTCTTTCTCCAAAAACAACTGTACCTGGTATAATTAATTGTATTCTATACATAATTCATGCATTTAAGAAATAATCAACTATTAATTTAAAATAATTCACTATATCAATTGACTTTTTAATTTTTATCAATAAAATTTATTTTAAATAATTCACTACAACAATTAACTACTAATTTTGAATTTTTACTAAACTTTATCAGGACTTTTAAACTTAAGTGGATTTTTTTTTGTGAACTAATATAATAACTGAAAAAATTTCGAAACCTTTTTTCACTCAATTTTCGGGGGCTCAAAGCAACTGCTTTTACTGACTTTAGGCCAAAGCCAATCCTAGACTTCGTGTGGAAAATTGGTTGATTTTTTAGTTTTTTTAACTATTTTAATCCGGGTTAAAAAGTTTGATTTGGAAAGGATTTTTTAAGTTTTTGACTTTTTTTTATAAGAGAAAAATGTAATGATTATGGATTGGATGTGATATTTTATTTGTTGTGGTTAAAATAACTTATTTTATCTTTTGTAACTATTTTAATCAAAAAAAAAACCCAAAAAATCTCTCCCCAAACAGAGGCCTAATATGCTAGACTGAATTATTCGATTCGATCTGAGACTAGGAACAATTCAAATCCCTTTATATGTATATCATTTTTCTTTCTGTTATGATAATAAAGTAGGAAACACTTCGAAAGGAATAAATAAGCAATTTTCTTTTCTCGGAAAGTAAGGAAAAAGGAAAGGACAAAATTCCTCTCTTGAGCACCATCACTAGTAGTGTGTTTTCAGTATTTGACTAATTTTGGCGGTTGACCGCATCGACCATGTTTGGGAAGAAATTTTTTTAATCAAAAATAACAATAAAAAGTCATAATAAATTATTAATTTATTCTTTATATTTTTTCATAAAAAAATTAAAAAATCATTAAACAGAAGTATGAATTCAGTAAGTTAAAATAGTTGTATTTAAGAAGACGGTTAGATTTTTTTATAATTAGATGTAATGTTTATGAGAGAAAAAATAAAATAATTTTGAATTAATATGATACTTTGTCTTATTAATTATTTTAATTTCTTTTATCTTTTTATAAATTTTAGCTTAAAAAATAAAAAAAAAATAACTTTTACCAAACAAGGCCTCAGTGAGGTTGGAGTCCCAGTGGGCATGGTTTCGTTTGCCCAATATATAATTGATGTTCTACTTTTGAAGATCCGTTTGTTTGTTTGTCTGTTTGTTTGTTTTGTTTTTGTTTTTGTATTTGTTTTTTTGATTATTTTGTTAATTATTTTTCCCAATGTGTTTGGCAAGAACTTATTTAGAAGTTTTTTTACTTTCTAAAAAATTGTTAAAATATGATGTCCCGTTATGCGTTTGTATAGCAAAATTCCTATTTTACTTTCATGGCTATGGACAAAAATAAAAAATTTATTTGGCCACTAATTTTAAGATTTTGAGATTTATTTAAGATGCACGTAAATTAACCTAAACATCCAGTGATCAAAAAAAAAAACCCATTTTGCCCTCATGGCTATGGAAAAAATTTCCATTTTAAACTCATGATTGAGAGTAATTTGGTCATTTTATATTTTTGACCATTTTGCTTATTTTACAAGCGCATTTTGCACCATATACTTTTTTTTTTCCCTTGACTTTTGACATTTTAAAAAAATAAGCAAATAAGTTGTTTATTTAGCAACTTGCTAATCCCCTACTTAATGGTGCATTGACTAGGACTACATATGAATTATTGATAGAATATTAATTCATCTAATGTTTTTAGCATTTTTATTTATACAATTATGTAGAGATGTGATTTGAAAATACTCTTGCATCCTATAAGACGTTCCTGATCCTCAAATTGCCACCTGAAAAAGAATGAACACTCCGGTTGAGAGTGCCAACATTAGCACTCCGACAGATAAGTTAGTATATGCTCTCAAGTTTACTTCTATCTCAAGTTTCTACTTAATCTATTCTCAGATACCTTTCTTTGGTTAATGTTGCTCTATTTATATTTGCCTCTGGGCCCTAGGATCGGGCCTACTCTTAGTCCTTCGAATGTTTATTCAACCTTCTGGTCGTGTACCGATATATACTCGGCTCATAATAGAGGCAAATTGCCTTTGGCCCGTTCAAATTGGTTTTCCTTAGTATAACCGATATTCGGCTCCCACAATTGCCCTACAAACATTCGACTAACATCACCTAGACGACATGTTTGATTCTAGGTATGGGAAGTAAAAAATACGGCGCTTGCGCTCCTTACAATACTGAAGCGTCAGAACATCTGCGTTTTGCAAATCATTACGATTTCCCGCTACTTCGTACACGTCGTTCATTTAATGCGATTTGAAACCGTGTTGTCTCTTCGGATATTTTTTGAATATACAAGGCTCTTTGGTTGCCTCTCAGCATCTCTTTCATTTCGCCTCTGCAACTTTCATCCGTCCCCCTTTGTTCTCTCTTCACCTTGTAAGTTCTTTTCCTCTACATTCCAACTTCTATTTCCCTATTTGTCACTTTTTTATTTTATTTTATGTATAGTACCTTCTATTCTGACTCGAATAGCGAAACATTTGAAAGCCCTTCTTTCTGTGGATTGTATTGCCGCTTTTCAACGCCATTTTTCCATTCCAGACGACGTCCATCTGTCACTTGTGGCAGACAGCATGCTTGACATGGGGAGGGCTGATACGAGTACGATCATCTTTCCCTTTTTGTCAATCACTGAGGGCAGAGTTCGTTTCCCTCTTCATCCATTTTTTAGGGTCATCCTTCGTTATTGGGGTCTTCTCCCTTCGCAGCCCAACGTAAATTTTTACCGTATCATAATGGGGATAGTAGAACAAAATCGCCGACTTAGGATTAATCTAGGAATCCCTGTTATTCGGCATTGTTATGCCTCGACGAAATCCTCTGGGCGGCAGGGGCATTATTTTCTCAAGGCCAAGGACACAGATTACCATCCGGTGACTATGCTTGCCAACTCTGGTAAGCGTGTCGACGATGTCATGGTCGTTGTTCGAGGCAACTGGAAATTCCTCGAAGGCGAAGATCGCCTAGATCTTGTTCCTAGACAAAAAGGCGAACCAGGTGGCCGTATAGTCCCTTATGTGTATTTTTTGTGCATTTACTCGGCTTAGATTCCATGTGCTTACCGTTTCGTTTGTGCAGGTAACGATTTGAAAAAAGTTCTTGTCTCGGCCGACGACGCTGTACTTGGGCAAATCAAAACCGCGCTCCAGTTCTTCGGCCGTCCAAACCGTCAAAAGCAAGGAAGGGTTGCCTACGTCCTTCTAAGATATGAGCCAACTTACATTATCTTTTCAGTCGTTGATCACATTCTGATTCCAAAGGGCGAACAGCAGCTTACAGCGCTTATATTCCCAAACTTTAAAAATCTTAGGGAGATTGGTCTTGAAGCTTCAGATTCAGAGCCGGTCGACGAACAAATAGCCGATGAAGTCGTTGAGCAGCTGAATCAGTCTAACTTGGACAGATCTGATAGTGTCGGGAAGGAGGTTGACGCGGCTCTAAATTTGGCCTCTGAGGAAGCCGACTTCAACCCTCTATCCACTTCAGGCCGACTAGACGTCTCGTTAGAAGACGATTTTTTTACCGATTTAGGAGATCTTTCCAGTATATATCCTGTGAACATGGCTGGGGAGTTGCTTTTGCAGATGGCTAGGAGAAAAAATGACGAGAGGATGGCTGCCCGGAGGAAGGCCGAAGCCGACTAATCTGAACCCCCACCACTTGTTGCTGAGGCTGAGTTCTCTCCACCTGCTCATGTTGAAAAAACGGCGCAGATTGTTACGGCCGAAAGGGAGCAAATTGATCTCATTCAATCGGATAATCTGGAGGCTAAGCACATGGGGAAAAATGTTCCGCCGAGTACAAATGCGACTTTTCAAAGAACCTAACTGATAAACGGCTGCGCATAGAGAAGTCAGACTTGGTTGTGCCGTTTATCATACAACCAACTACCAAGGATAAAGAATGTGCCGGTTGCTTCTGATGCATCGACTGTGAAAGACGATGCTGTGGCCCTAAGCATGGCCTCTTCAATTTCTCTACCGATTGACAGAGTAATCTTTCACACAGAACCGTATATGATGTCCATAGCATTAGCCGCTCAATCGGCGATATTGGTATATGACTTGAGTTGTTTGTAGTCTTGTGTCCTTTTTTATGCCACCTATCTTATTAATTCCTTGTTTCACAGGCGGCGGGCAGGAT